AGGGGAGCATGACGAGTGCGGAAACTTCGGGTCACCGCGGCTTGAAATCCGATGGTTTCGGATCAGTACCGGATAAAACTAACTTGCTCATATTTCCGTCAGCAGACATCCGAGGCCGGCTCGAGCACAGAATTCAATAGCCTGTCTTGTGCCCAAGGGTGTAGATTGTCCGGAAGTAGACTATGGAGACTCATCTTCCTTGACCCATAAGTGATGCTAGAGAGAAAGGATATATTGAGGAATTGGGTGTGAAAGATGCTCGAAGCTGGATCAAATACGTAGCAACAACTTTTGTTGTCTCGCTAGTGGATAATTGATATTGACACCGGCTGCCTTTCCCATGGCACCACTGCTAAGCCTGCTTAGGGAGGGCGGTAGCACGAACCCACTAGTCTGATTAGGAAATGCATTGCATCTCATACATATAAACACTTGCAGGCGAAATGATCAAAGCGGCAGAATCGGTCTTACATGTTCCTCGCAGCCTTCCCACATATGAGATCGATGAGATTGGGCATGTCAAAATTTTTGTGGTATGTGGAAAGGCTGCGAGGACCACGTGAGACCGATTCTGCCGCTTTGATCATTCCGTTCGCAAGTGTTTATATGTATGAGATGCAACGCATTTCCTAATCAGACTAGTGGGTTCGTGCTACCGCCCTCCCTAAGCAGGCTTAGCAGTGGTGCCATGGGAAAGGCAGCCGGTGTCAATACCAATTATCCACTGTAGCGAGTGTATGATATCATATGCGGTTAAGCTGCAAGTGGGTCGGAAATAGTCCGACGGGATGGCGGGTTCTTGCACGTTGCAGCCTGCCTGTTTGACACAAAATGTTGATTTCCCACAGTTATTGCGAATATACTGGTAGACAGTAGGCTCAAGATCAATACACAGTCTGTGGACAGGCGGCATTGACGAGCCGTGACCGCGGATGGGAGAAAGTATCGTGCCTGCCGGGTTAAGTAACGGAGCGCCGATCGCCACCAAATATTCCTTCTTCCCTCTCAATTCTACTCAGTATCTTCACCGAGTCATCCTTCTCGTATCCCGCCTCAACAAAGTTGGTTTCACTTCCTTCAACCTTCTCCCCTGCATCCACCTCCTGTGCTGCCTCAATAACCTGCAAGGTTAAAGTTGTCCGTTCTATCCCCTCGATCATCGTCCTCCATAATCCAGAGCTCCAGGCTTTCTTTTCCCGTCTCCGGATTCGGCATCGGTTGACAGATCACGTGTGCCGGGGAAAACAGAGGGAGTGACTATCAAAACACCCCGGGAAATGCATCCTGAGCAGAGACAGAGACAGAGAGACATTGCGACCGACACCACTGACTGGCCTAAGACATGGTAGCCCCGGACGCTGCTGAAGCAGCCGCCTCGCCATCGATGCAGGCCACAAATGATGGCCCCAAGAAGCGAAAATGGATGAGGATTTTCAGCTTACCCCAGATAATCTGGGGTAAGCTAAATATGGACATCCCCACTTTGCTGCTTATGATGAAGTATGTCCCACTGAATCTTCCTATACCAGATGATGTGCATTGGAGCTAAATGCAATTGTTCGCAACAGGGGAGCACTTCCACCCACGATATGCGTAGCTATGTATGCTTGCCTACCATCATCTCTATGATCACTATAAGCAACAGAACTAATAAGCTATAGGTACCAATCAGATGTCGTGTCCGGTCAATTCAACACCGTTGGCTATTTGGTTGCTATCATCTCTGTCCTGGGTTTCTCCATTATGCCGCGCGCGAAATTTATTCAAATGATGGTGCTTGACATCCTCGCAGTCTGCGTGGCCTCCGCTTTCGCATTGCTCATGATGTACTGCTGTATCAAGGCCCGAGAACACTCAGAGCCATCTTCAGCGACATCGAGTGCTACCTCAACCACCTCCGTCCCGTACAATGCCTCCGCATCAGCAGTCAGTGGAGTCTGGCTTTTCTTCCAGATTTATGTGGTCCACACTTTCAGAGCCAAATTTCAGCAGTTTCAATTCCCCGTGATCATTTATTCCATTGTTGCCAATGTCACGTTCACCTATGCCCCCCGTCTAGGAACCATGACCGCAGCAATTGCATTGGTGAAGAAGTTGCTCGAAGCTTGTCTGACAGGGCTAGCCATTTGCACAGGTGTATCCCTGTTTATTCTGCCCAAGAGTACTCGCGGCGTTATTCTCAAACAAATGGGAGGTTATATCGACGGCTTGCGTGGCGCTCTCAGAGCCCACACATCGTATTTTGAATCCCTAGAGCGCGAGGATATGTTTGGGCGGGCTGAGACCTACGACTCTCGAGTGGAAAAGATGACCGAGAGCGGCAAGGTTTACAGCCCAGAGGCAGCAGCTATCCGATCGGCTTGCCAGAAACTCACGGATCTCCATGCTAAGATCCACGGAGACCTGACATTCGCAAAGCGTGAATTCGCCATCGGCAAACTTGGTCCGGACGATCTTCAAGCAATATTCAGACAGCTGCGCCAAGCTATGATTCCTATTGTGGGGTTAAGCTTTGTAGTCGACATCTTCCAGCGTCTATCCGATTACAACAAGTGGAACCAGCCGATCGACCCTGGCGCTCCCGAGGATATACGCTGTCGCGTTGTGCAGGAATGGAACGATATCATGCGCGCTGTGCATGACCCGTTCCGGTCTATGATCGATACCATTGATGAAGGCCTTCAGCATGTGTCGTACGTTCTCGAATTCAGCAAACCGCCCAAAGCATCAACTACATCGAAAGAATCGGAAGATGTGGAGGCGAACGCAAGCCCGAAACCTGGCGAAAAAGCCTTTGCTGCCGTCTATGCAAAGAAGCTAAGCGATTTCAAGGCGGCCAAGCGCATCGCTTTGCGGGCCTGGGGTGAAGAAAAAGGGATCACCCTCCCCCCGGACTTTTTTGAGCACCCTTCTTCCGTTCACCTCGATATCGATGATATACCTTCTGATAGTTCAGGCGTTGGACGAGATCGGAGCAGACGGCAGCTGTATTTAATTCTTTACGTACGTAGGGCATTGTGCTATCTGGTATTCCACGCGATTTGCTGACTTGTATAGATGGAACAACTTCTCAGCTCCACCGGTCATGTCATTCAGGATTTCATCCACTTTGCCGACGAGAAACGTGCGAGCGGAAAACTGTCAAGAAAACGGCTCATCATACCAGGATCTAAGCGCCTGTTGAAGTGGGTCGTAAGCGCCTTCAAAGCGGAAGATACCCACGAAGATGATAATCTAGGTGGCGACATTAGCTCGCAGAACAATATTCTTCAGCTGGGCGAAGCATACAAACATCGAAAAGACCCCGAACACTTACCTCCGGAGAATGCACTGCAAAAATTTGGAGACAAGCTTCGACGGATTCCCTCCGCCCTCCGCTCACCTGAGTCTGCCTATGGCTTCCGCGTAGCTTGTGCCACGATGACTGTGGCCGTGGTCGCGTTTCTTCATGACACTCAAAGCTTCTTCGTGAAGCAGAGGTTTGTATGGGCCATGATCATGGTCAATTTGAGTATGTCGCCTACCTCGGGTCAGAGCATTTTTGGCTTTGTTCTCCGTATTCTGGGCACAGTCATGGCTATGGTGCTTAGCTTACTGGCTTGGTATATCCCCGGCAAGAAGACTCCAGGAATTATCGTCTTCCTGTTCATCTTCCTAACCTGCGTCTTCTATGTACCAATCAAGCAATTCCGCTTCCGCATCATTGGCATCATTACCATCATTTCTACTTCCATGATAGTGGGGTACGAGCTGGAGGTTCGCAAGATCGGAGAGGCAGTGGCCAGCTCCAATGGACAGCAGTACTATCCTATCTATCTGCTAGCACCATACAGACTCGCAACAGTGGCTGGAGGTATTGCCGTTGCTTTCTTCTGGACGTTCTTTCCTTATCCGATCTCGGAACATTCTGCTCTCCGCCAAAGTCTGGGGGCATCTTTGTATCTTCTGGCAAACTACTACTCTGTCATCCACGAGACCGTGTCCGCCCGGATGCGAGGTGACGAGGGTGATCTGGCGATCAAAACCTCCTCAGGGCGGCGATTGCTGAAGGCCCGCAACAAGGTGTTTTCGAAGCAGATGCTCATGCTGAATAGTTTGCGAACTTACTCCGGCTTCTTGAAATGGGAAGTCCCGATCGGTGGAAGATTCCCAAAGAAGCGTTATGATTCAATCATAACATGCATTGACAGGTACGTCAGCCTGATTCTGATGCGGGTGTCGACCCCTCTGACTATGGATACAGCATCGTCAGCTATCTGAGTCTTCTGGGATACGCATCGGACACCCTACTGCAACTTGGGCATGATGATGAATCAGACTCAGCTTGGCTTCATGACTTCAGGAGACTGGTAGCCAGCGCCCGAGTGACGACGCACGAGGTAACGTCCGTTCTCTGTCTCCTCTCAGCTAGCATCACGAATCAACAGCCTCTGCCGCCATATCTCAAGACTCCCCGTCCGTACAGCTTTTCCAAGAGACTTGAGGCACTAGACAAAGATATTTTAAATCTGAGACATATCGCGGAGCCTGGCTTTGCTACCTTCTCAGTGCTGCAGATCTCCACCAGGTGCATTGTTGGTGACGTGGAGAGACTGATGAGGTGAGTAGACCATTTGATTCACTATTGTATCATGCTAAACCAAAGTAGGGATGTGAAAGCATTGGTAGGAGAGTTGGACTTCTCTTTCCATGCCATTAGCACTGCGCACAGCGCCAAATCATCAGCTGAGGTGTCAAGAGTCTCGGATCTGGACAAACTCGATTGATTCCAGGCTTTGGTGTATATATCAAGTTTTACTTCCCCACTAGAGTCAATCTAAACCAGTACATAATAGTTTTGGTTCGTGTGAGATCTTGTACGGTCTGAGGTTAGGCTATTGAAGATCAGCAGGGAGCGGCTTAATGGGCGATGGCTGCTCATTTCCTGGTAACCCCGCAGTTACGCTCCACCCCTCCTCCAACCTCATCCGAGCCGCAACACATTACCATCGAGGACCGATATGCAGGAATTCGAGATCGAGCCAGCCTTGCTATCTCAGGCAGCCGGTCAGACAGTCATTGTAACTGGAGCAGCAAACGGAATAGGAGCCGTTACCGCGACACTCTTTAACCATCATGGTGCAAATGTCATCCTTTCTGATCTTGCCTCTCTCGAGGGGACTGCTGCAGCACTTATCCAGACATTTTCTTGGCCCGAAAGGGCAGTTTTTGTTGCTGCCGATGTCCTCGACTGGGGGCAGATGAAAAGGCTCTTCCATGAGACAGTCCGCATTTTCGGAGAGGTCAACATTGTGATCGCTAATGCGGGGGTGATGGAGTCACATCCAGTACTGGATCTCGACAATGTTGACGAGAATGGCGATCTCAGAGAGTCTACCGAAGGCTTCCGAGTGATTGATATCAATCTGAAAGGAACCCTGAACAGTAGGTCACTGAGATCCGCGCATCACGTCATTCCCTACTGACGAACGACAGCTCTCAGACTAGCGATGCACCACATGAGGAACAAACATCACCCATCTGGATCTATTGTGCTTCTAGCATCTACCTCTGGGTATTTTGGAGGCACTGGCGTAGCGGCATATGTCGCTTCTAAACATGGAATTGTGGGATTGCTTCGTGCCTCCCAGACCACTGCGCAGCAGTACGGCATCCGCATAAACGCCGTTGCTCCATTTTTCACCCCGACACGAATCACAGCTGGATTCTCGGAGAAATGGCTCGAAGCAGGTCTGGAAGCTAACACACCCCAGCGTGTGGCAGACGTGATTGGGCAGGTTGCAATGGATTCAAACCGAAAAGGGTCCTGTGTTCTAGTGAGTGCGCTTCTGAGCTCTTACGTTCTTTCTGGAGGCTTTGCCGGGACTAAGGTTCATTCTGACAGGTTGCCGGGAATTATCTTCGTGAGATGGAATCCACCAGGACAGGAATGCTCGCGCCATGGCTTGGGGAGGATGTTGCGAAATTTATGACCAGCGCGATGCAATTTTTCCAAGACATAGGGGGATATGTGCTCCCCAAGTACCATTAGACACCCTCCCTTCCATGTGTGAATGTGCTGCCGCCTATTTCTTGGCTTCTTGGTTCCGAGGTGATTTTCAATGTGACCTGTGCCTGCATACCAATACTACAAGGGAAAGCCAAGCTATCCAAATGCGGAACTTCTCGACCACCTGGGTGATCGGAATGCCCTTTTCGAGTGAATCGCCCCAATACTATTTCCTTTGCGTCTAAGCTATGGCTAGGACTGCACGATGACCGCTTCTCATGCAGGAGCGAAACTAGGGGGCCAACAACAACAGCATGCGTTACGTATCAGCTCCTCGCGGCTCTGTGCTGCCCCCTTGCATACTGGAGTATGCTAGTATGTATTGACTGATATAGTCGGACCCATCAAGGCAATAGAATTCTGGATGATTGACTGATTTGCATTAGTCTTCTGTGAGACGATGATGCAACGAACTTCCCCTCTAACCACGATGATGGGATGCTCTGTCTTCCTATGTGCTCGACGTCTTTTTTCCGTGTCGCACTCGGCTGTCTTATGAGCTCTAGTTGAATCACGGAGGTTCAAGAGACTCTGAGCACCGACCGACAATGGGCTTGGAATATGTTGACTCTAGCCATGATAAGCATGGCTGCGACGTGCAGCTGTTCAGCGGCCGATGCGTCCAAAACCTAGTTGAGAACATCGACGCCCCGGCAAGCCACCATGACAATAACCTCGAAGCCAATATCGAGCGGGCAAAATGGAAGCCGGACGTCAAGGAATGGCTGATGATCATATCCGCCTGTTTGCTGGTCACAATGGACGCTCTGAACGTGACGGTCGTTATACCCCTGATACCAGTACGTATGGAACGACAGTATGCTTTGCATTGGCTAAATCGTTCCCCTAGAGCCTATCGAGTACGCTCGAGCGAGCACTGGGCGGGATCCTATGGATTGAGGCCTCGTATCTCATCGCCAGCGCCACGGGCCAGGCCGTCTTTGCCATGCTCACGGACCTGATTGGCGCTGGTCCTATTGTTCTTTCCGCTGTGGTGCTCGCGACGGCCGGGACGGGCGTCTGCAGCGGCTCAATGAACCTAGCCAGCCTCATCGCCGGCCGGTTTGTGCAAGGAATTGGAGGAGGAGCCGTGATGGCATATTCGATCTTGGTCTTGGCCGACATTATCCCCGACATGTACCTGGCCCACTACTCCGGGTATCTCTTTCGGGCTCGTGTCGTCGGAAGCATGCTTGGCCTGGTTCTCGGTGGACTGTTCAGTGACTATACCTCCAGGATATGGGCTTTCTACGCCAGCTTTGCATTCTGCGCACTAGGGCTCCTCATAATTCCATTTGCCGTGGACCTGCGTGGCCGCCGCAGCATCTCCATGCGCAAACTCCGCAGCATGTGCTGGCTGAGCGTCGTTCTCAGCCTCGTGGGGATGGGTTGCCTGCTCATCGGTCTTAGCCTGGGCGGCACTTTCTACCCCTGGTCGAGCTGGCGGGTCCTCGTGCCTCTTTGCCTCGGAACCGGCGTGATTCTGCTGGTTGTCCTCTATGAGAGCATCTGGGCGACGCGATCGATCTTCATCGCAGCAGACATTCAGTGTCTGCCTCGAGCGATGATGTACCTCAGTAGCTTTCTTCACGGGTTCGCGGTGCGTGCCCCCCCAAGTCCCCATTATCATGCACCAGTTAAGCTAATACACATACAACCCCAGCTCCTCTCCCACCTGCTCAACCTCCCGATGTACCTAGTCCTAATCCAACGTCTCACCCCGACCCTATCGGGCCTCAGCCTCCTCACCGTCACCGCTCCATCCTTACCCGCCCTCCTCCTAGTCTCCAAATGGTCCTGGCTGCACCGTCCTCGCACCCTCCGCTGGATCATCCGCGCCGGCTGGGCCATCGGTCTTCTGGCCTCATGCGCGTTCATCACCCTCGATATGCACACTCCGCCTCAAGCCTGGGTCTTTGTTTTTCTGGCTACAGGGATCAGCCACGCTCTTTTGACGTCTGGATACCATCGCTGCCTCCAACACCGACCACGATCTCACAGTTCTTCCGGACGCTGGAAATCCGACAGCAGCAGCAGCACCACCAACAACGCCGGGGAGCCGCACACCGAGGTCTCCAAGGGAGGCATGCTGCTGTACTCCATCCTGCGGACGTGGGGCATGTGTATCGCGGTAACGGTGAGCGGCACCATCGTTCTGGGTCAGGTGGTGCGGGAGATGGGCGACCAGAAGGGAGTGGATATCCTGGGGCTGGGAGGGAATGTGACCCAAGGAGATGATGGTGGTTCGTCGATGATGATGATGTTGCTGATGATGATGGGTGATAGGGGGGGCAAGAATGGAAATGAGAGCGAGATGGCCGTGCTGCGCGGGATGTACATGGATGGGCTGCAGGCTTTGTGGAGGGTTCTGCTGGGCGTGGTGGCTTTGGGCGGGCTGTGTAGTTGCTTTGCGAGGTAGATTTTGGGGGTGTTTCCCAGTAGGTATGTACTCCGAAGGGCTTGGGGGAAATGATAGAAGGTCAGGTTGGTTCGAGATTACACGGTGTACTTAAACATTGTGCTGGATGGTTGGGGTCCTTGCCAGACCGTGAGCTCTGGTGGTTAATTCAAGTAGCTCATGTTCCTACTTTTGCTAATGCTATACTAATGACATTGTTCTTCATGTTCTCCGTGCTACGGGTCCTGACCCTAGGCTGTCGACATCACAGCAATGAAAAAGAAGCAACCATTCATCCAGACGCGAAGCAAGACACATCCAACTCAGATATGATATCAAACCCAACGAACCCAGCGTAGAAAGCGTACTACCTAAGCTTAAGAATGAAACAAAAATAGAGCAAGACAAGGAACAATTACAGCACGATGCCTAGAAATGCATTAGCACCAAAGAGCAATCGCCCATAGGACATCCCCATCTTCCTCCTTCTTCTCCTTCTATCTCTACTTCTCCTCCTTATGCTCCCCCTGATGAGCACCATATCCTCACATCCTTCTCGACCACCATTGTGGCCACCTTCTCTTCCTCCTCATCACATCATCCCCTTTTCTTAACCTCAACCGGCTAAGGCAAAGCCATACCGCCGCATGGACACGTCAAGCCCCTCCTTTTCTCTCGACAGTGGCGGTAGTGCTCCCCTAAGCCCGCTACCCCGACTCCACGGGCGCCGAAAGAGGGACAAGAGTGGTTCTTGAATATGGAGCGCGCGCTGCTGGTGCTCATGCCACTACTGGTGGTGATTACGGTGGCAGAGACGTGAGCAAGCCACCATTTCTGGTAGGCCTATGTTCTGTTCTCACAGCGTCCCCCCGAACGACGTTTCCTGACGCCGCTGGCGCCACCTTATGTTAGATAACGTGGTCGCTAGTTTCCCAACTTCTTCTATTGCTTTGTGCTGTGCTGGGCTGTGCTGACGCCCTCTTCATTGAGGGTTGGTACTGGACGGTTGAGCTTGATTTATTGGATTATGGGTTTTGTGGTAGTAGTAGTAGTAGTAGTAGTAGTAGTAGTAGTAGTAGTAGTAGTAGTAGTAGTAGTAGTAATTGTAGTATTAACAGAGGTGGTATTTACCTTATCAAGAAGAATTTGCAAAGGGGCAGATACAGAGTCGGCTATGTTTCTCTTGACGGCCCTTCTCTTGAAAGGGGGAGAAGAGGCAGAGGGAAGGATTAGATTGTAGCCTGCGGACTGGTTTTGCTTTGTTAGTGGATGCGATGTCTTAGGGCTGGCGCTACACACAAAACGCGGAAGAGGAAGGGGAGCTTCTAAGTTCTGCAAATAACGAAGGCAGACTGTCATGTCCTGTTGAGGACATCCTTCTTATGAGCGTGCGTGCATGTGGTTGCCTCATGCGATTTGGAGTGACGTATAGAAGACAGATTGAGCTTCTTGGTCTGACCAACGGGCCTGGATCTCCCATGGTGTATGTGCCCAGAGGATAGGACTCAGAGGTGAGGACACGGTAACTGATGGGAACGACTCATCCTAGGCCGATAGTACGGTGGCTCATCTGAGTTAGCGTGATGCTGTGGTTGAATGAGATCTCGAACTCGAGCTGAGGGGGATGATCGATGTTTGATTTCTCGGACACGGTATCTTCATAGTCACCACTGTGTTTAGCACGGGCTTGGTGGTGGGATGGAGAATACACTTCTTACGTTTACAGTATATTGTTTACTCATCTTGACCTTGTCAAAATTGTCAAAAATAGAGGCATAGACTGCTACACTAGGTATCCACACAGAGATTTAAGTAGATTAAAATGAATTGACTAGTCGAACGATCGAATCTCGGACCACTCTGGTGCGGATATACCAGGAAGTGGTAAGCTATTCACACCATTGGTAAGTGATTGTTCCCGGTGCCATTCACTAACCCTAGAAGGGCTGCTGCGCCTTCAAGCTCTGTCCTGTAGAGATTGTCCCATCCTCAGTATTCCAATTCTAAGCCTTCTGATGTTTTCGTATGCTCGTCAGCCACCTGCGCTGTGTTAGGGTTGCTGACGGGTCATAGCGGGCGGGCTTAAGCGCATCGACGGAGTTTACGAGCCCGTGGCTGACGAGAGCCATATACAACCGAGCATCGATAGCATCATCCACTCCCGGCAGATAAATAGCACTTTCCATCAATGTGTGTCCTCAGTTTTAGTTCCCATCTCAGAGCAAGAACAACAAGACAAGACAATCAGCTAAGAAAATAAAATATCCACACTCAGAATGGACGGACCCAACACCAAACCATACCACATCCCCACCGACGCCGTCTGGTTCGGTCAGTGCCCATACCCTTCCAGAGCATAATAAGAACAACAACCAAAACTAACAGTTCCCAAAAAGTCACCGGCTGCTCCTCAGGCATCGGCCAAGCCCTCGTCCACCACATCACAACCCACCACCCAACCCACCGCGTCGTCGCAACAGCCCGCAACCCAGCCAGCCTATCCTTCCCAACCACCAATCCTAACATCCTCCCCCTAGCCCTCGACGTGACCTCCCCGACCTCCATCGACGCCGCCCTGCAGAGAACCCTCGCCCACTTCCACCGCATCGACATCCTGGTCAACAACGCCGGCTACACGCTGGTGGGCGACACCGAAGCCGCCTCCGACGGCGAGGCGCGCGCCCTCCTGGACACCAACTTCTGGGGCGTGGTGGACCTCACCAAGCGCATGCTGCGGATCATGCGCGAGGAAAACTCCAGAGGCGGTGGTGTACAGGGCGGCGTGATCCTGAACGTCAGCTCGATGGGCGGGTTCATCGGGTTCCCGGGGAGTGCGTTCTACCACGCCAGCAAGTTCGCGGTGGAAGGGTTCACCGAGACGGTGGCTAGGGAGTTGCCGGTGGAGTGGAACAGTGAGTTCCCCCCCCCCCCTTTTTCAAAGCCTCGGTTTTCCAATTTTCATGGTAATGTTCCGCCCTGCGCAACGCCAGCTAATCTTGTGTGTCCCAACAACAAGTCCACCTCAGCAACATCGAACCCGGCGGCGTGAAGACCAACTACGCCACGACCAGCCTCAAGACCATGGTCAACGGGCGCCATCCGGCGTACGACCACCCAGGGTATCCGGTGAATGCGCTGTTGGCGTACATGGGCCAAGAAGAAAACTGGCGGACGTGGGCGGAGCCCCAGGCGATTGCACGGGCGATGGTCGAGATTGTGAGTCGTGGGCGGAGGATTCCCATTCGCGTGCCCCTCGGTGCGGACTCTTTTGGGTTGATTTCGATGGAGTTGGAGAGTGTCAGGAAGGATTTGGAGGAGGTGAGGGAGGTGAGTTTGGGGGTCGGGGAGACGGAGCAGTTGGATTCGCTTGGGTTTTTGCAGAGGGAGTAGTTGGGGTTCGGAAGGGTTTGTGGTTGGGGAGATGGACTTCGTGTACTTAGGGATGGTGTTGATGTGATGTTTGAGTTTGGGAATGGACTCATCTCATCTTGTTGGTGCTTTGCTTGTGGGGTTGTTTGTACTCATAATTGGAGTGACGGAGCCTCGATTTGGTAAACGAACTCATTCAATCTGACGTCCTTGGATCTTTATGGAAGGTAGTACTTACAGTACAGCATTCAATGCCTCCTTTCTTGACAAGGCCAAACCTACATGACTAGTATATAATGTACTCTACTGCACCTAACAAGAGTCTTCTCCATTGCCCATGAATTCATCTCTCAACCGTTCAATTTGGAGCAGGGAAGACTCTAAGCTTCCTGAGCATTGGAATCTCGAGGAAGGTGTCAATCTCCAACTATCTTGCATCGCATAGGGCAAGAGAAGAGCACCTCGTTGATCGGAGAGACAAAAGTTACCCCTGGCTGCTACATCCCACCCCCAAGCCGGCAGCAAATGGCATTCTCGATCACGAGATCCTGGCCACCGGGTGACTCGTGGTCAGCCCTCTGCCAAAGAAATCATTGGATGCTGGGGGTGATCAAATCTCTAAAAAGATAGAAGGGAGGCCCTTCCATCGAGGCGCGGAACCAGTCTAATACTCAGGCCACTCAGGGTCAAGCTGTTCCCTCCACGAGCGGAAGCCTCCCCGGATATCGACAACCTTCCGTCGCCCTTCACGATCCAGTCCCAGCTCCTTCAGTTTCTTCACTACAATCTGGGAATCGTTGCCCATGCGACATACCACGTAGATCGGATTCGTCGAGTCCGCAGCAGCAAGCTCCGCCGGTATCCACGATGGAAGCTGGGCAGCAGCGTCATCACCCTTGCTGGCAGAAGATGCCAGGATCGTGGAGATCGGGATATTGATACTGTTCTCAAGATTGCAGATGTCGAACTGCACCTTCTCCCGCACGTCGATCATCGTCGGCTGCTTGCCCGTTTCCGCAACCGTTGACTGAGGGTGCAGCTCCCGATACTCCAGCGGCGAGACGCGTTCCTCCGGCGCAAGTAGCATCTCTGGATCGGCACTGCCGCAGAAGAAGACATAATCCGTGGAGCCGGAACGCACCGTCTCCAGATTTACAGTCGCCTCTGCAGAGCATACCGCGCAGTTGGCGCGGCGGGAGCGCAGCTTGATCGACCGGAACAACGGCGTAGAGTACGCGGAGAAGATATGCAGCGACGGAGGGCTGGGGGGCTGCGTGTCGTCGGCCGTGATCACCTTGATGGCTTCCAGAGCCTGCAGGACGCCCATCGTCCCAACCACGGGCCCCAGGATGCCTCCATCCGCGCAGCTGGTGACGGTGTTCGCTGGTGGGGGTCGGGGAAACACGCATCGATAGCACGGTCCGCCGGTCTTGTCGCCCGCCGGTCGAGGCGGGTTGTTCAGTACCATCAGTTGTCCTTCCGTCCTCAGGGCGGATGCTGAGACCAACGGCTTGCCCAGCAGCACGGCCGTATCGGAGATTAGGTACCGAGTCGCGGGGTTATCCGTACAATCTAGTACGATATCGTAGTCTTTGAAGATATCCGCTGCAGCGTCGGGTGCTAGATGCGCTCGATGGGCAATGTACGTGGGATGAGGGTTCAATCTAGCAGGAAGCAAATCATCATGGGTCAGTCAATTGTTGTGTAATCAATTTCGTGGCAGAGCGAATAGACGGTCGAAGCTCACTCCTGGAGATACTCAATCGCGCTGTCCACCTTCAACTTTCCCACGTTTCGGCTGCGATGCAGAACCTGGCGGTGCAAGTTTGACGATTCAACGGTGTCCCCGTCCACCAATCCTAGTGTACCCACGCCAGCTCCAGCAAGATACATCGCAGCCGGGCATCCCAGTCCACCTGCGCCGACAATCAGGACTCTCGCCGATCGGAGTCTCAATTGACCTGTCGCGCAACGCCCCCAGGTCAGCCACAAGCATCTCCAACATTCCAGATCGAACATCGTAGAGTAAACTTGGAGGGAAAGAGTGGAGAGAAAAAGAGAGTACACATACCCTGTAATCCCAGCTGCGGCACAATCATCTGCCTCCCATAACGCCGGTACTCCTCAGCGAGAAGTGGCCATCGCCTCTCCTCCGTGTCAGTATGCTGACTCTGAGAGTTGAGTGCAGCTTGCTCAGCGACCTGAAGCTCGCGTTTCAGACCAGCAAGCTGCGCCTCTGTGGCAGCGATTTGCGCGCGCAGCGATGCGCAGGTCTGTTCGATATCCTCCATCAAGTGAACTCGATTGCAGGAGGGGCTATCGAGGTTATGGATTGCTGTGCAGCCGAGGCACCCAGCCCGCGGGCGCAGACTTGCTTGATCTTATCAGCCATGCGGGCTAAACCAGATTAGGTGGTAGCGGCTCGGTCGGCCAGAGCTGGAGAACCACGGACGAGACTCGGTGGGTGAAAACTGTTCCTATGGTGACCGCCCCAAATCGGCAGAAAAGTGGTTAAAACAGCCGGCCAAAACTCGGCGGGAAAACTGGTTAATTCCTGACCGCCTCAAACCGGCAGAAAAGTGGTTAAGACAGCCGGGAAAAACTCGGCGAGGAAACTGTTTATTTTTTGACCGCCCCTAGCTCCCCGTGGCAGAATGACGCTGTATGCCTGAGGCAGCATAATCTCTCCTTAAGTGTTCTACCCTGTTGTTGAGAAGATGAACCTGAAAATGTGTATGAAAGGTCTTTTGCAGTTAGGATTAGTTACATCCCTACAATATTTGACATGTGAGGAACTTAATCAATTCTATGCATCGCGTTTATTGCTTCTCGTCGAGCTTACAATCCTCACCCCAGCCCGAGGCGTCTAGTTACCCAGGCGTTGACTATGCATCGTAGCCTAAACATCACACCACATCTTGAAAATTCGCTGCTTATGGCCTTTAACATGCGTGCGCCAGCATTATAGCCCAACGCTCATACACTAGGCTATTGTTAAGCTGCCTGAGCAGAACATCATCAGAATGGCTCGCAATATCGCTATTGATTGCCACCGCCAGATACCTAAATTACCCAGCCGTGCAACCCATTACATTTATAAATCAAAGCTAAGCATTTTTGCAAAAGGGCGGTGCTCAGATTGGCAGACTGACAGATTACTATGAGAGATGGACGTTTCTTCACTGGCTCAAAAGAGCGGTTCAATGTACCGTTCAAGTCGATCGCGAACCAGCGTCCGCTGCTCAAATGCATAAGCCATACCTATCAACGCCTCCTCGCTCCACTTGGGTCCCAGAAAACTGACGCCAAGAGGGATCCCAGGCGCCTGCTCGATCAGATCTCCACGCGCATTTGCTCGGACCGGTGTTCCGTTCGGAAATGCCCCCATCGGCACGGTGATCACTGGCGTCCCAATTATGGCAGGGATATCAGAGGCCAGGTGAGTGGGCAAGATGACAGCATCGAGCTCATGCCGTCTCAGTGCTCCCAACAATCCCCCTTCATCGCCAAATTGCAAGTTATCTTGATACAATGACCAGAATCCGGGAGAGGTGTTGTTCATGCCCGCCGCAATTACTTGATCCCAGATCCCCGTGTCACGAGATGGATATTCCTCTGGTGGACTCTGCTGAGTATAATGGCGGATATCTGCAACGGTGCGGAGCTGGTTAGGGTTGCCGGTCAGGCTTGACAGGTAGGTGGCAATATTGGAAGTGAAATCAGCGGCTACTACCAATGCTGGGATAGAGCTGGTGGAGAAGTCGCTGTACGCTGTGTAATTTGTCTCATCGATGACAGCCGCACCAGCACCCGCAATGACGGAGACTGCCTCTTCAAAGACCGGGATCATGGAGGCATCGGATTGCTCAAAATAAGAGATGACGTTCCGTGGAACACCGATGCGCTTTCCCTGCAGCCCGGAAAATTTGCAGGCATCCACATAATTGGGCAGGTAGTCGCCAAAGGGCGAGGCCAGCGTATAGTTATCCATGGAATCTGCACCGGCAATAGCTTGCAACAGCATGGCAGCATCTTTGACTGTCTTGGCCAGGGGTCCAACGGTATCCTGGCGCTCACTGATGGGGATGACCATGTATCGCGATGTGAGACCGACGGTGGGCTTGATACCGACGATATTGCTCTTCTCGGCGGGAAGCAGAATGCTGCCACTAGTCTGTCAGAACGAAAGGCAATTAGCTCACATAATGTCAGCAGGTCGATAGTCGCCAGCTTACCTCTGTACCCAGAGCGAAAGTGGCCAGCCCCAGGTCAGTCGCAACAGCGCTCCCACTCGAACTTCCGCTCGGGTCCTGCCCAGGATAGTAGGCCGCATACGTCTGACCTCGCCTGGCATTCCACCCGTTGGACGAATTGAACGAGCGAAAATTGGCCCATTCCGACACGCTGCTCTTGCCTAGGATGATGAGCCCCTGTTCTCTGAGCTTACTCACCACTGTGGCTTCAGCAGGAAGCTTGGATCCGAGGAGAGCATAAGATCCGCCTATAAAAGAAGTCAGCCATCAGTCCCTCCACCCAGCCCAACAAGACCAATCCGCCGTACCTGTATTATTGAGTTGATCCCCCGTTCCGATCAGATCCTTAATAAAGACCGGCAGCCCATGCAGAGGCCTGCACCCATACCCAACATGAGTTAGCAGCCCACTTCTAAACTCGAGTCCCCATGTGATACCAGACTTACCCACGAATCTGCCCTCTGCTTCTTTCACTGTCAAGAGCCGCTGCAATACTGAGTGCCTCATCATTCACCTCCAAAACGGCATTCGTCTTCGGGTTGACCTCATGGATTCGGAGCGTGTACGCCTGAACAGGATTTCCGGTTAACCAGGCCTCCACGACTTCCGACTTCAGACTTCCGGGAAGCTAGGGAATTCAGGGCCACACGCACCTTGACTAATTCCACACTGGTGAAGCAACTCTTATTGAGGCCCTCTTGCAGGTCATCCACCGTCGCGTCGATCAAGGACGGTAGGTCGCATTCCGGCTGGCCATTGCCTGACAGTTTGCCGTGATTTGGAAGCAGGATACGGCAAGCGTAAGGAAAAGCCACGAGGGGCAAGAGTTGCCAGAGATGCATGATTACTGATGAGGTGTAAGACAGGTAAAGCAGGTAGAGAAGCCTCACAAATTACGCAACGCCGAATCACTATGTTCGAAGCGATATCCTGGATGTGGAATGGTAAAGAGAGGGAGAGAAAGGAATAGCTCATATATGACATGTAAATTGGGGGGGGGGGGTTGGATGGATGTACTGTACAGGATCCCGAGCTGTGGAGGGAAGTCTCTACCGCTCCTGCCTGCACTCCTAAGGTGGCGGTACTATGAGTGACTAGTCAGTGAACGAGTGGCTTTGCTGCACGGCTTTCTTCGCCAGAATCTGTCAGGGAAGGAACGGAAATAGTACTCAAGGAGTCTGGACTGACACCGGCGAAACCACAACTGATATGCCAAGCTTATGCAAGGACGGCTTGGTGCAGAAACATGAGTAATCACTTGGGACTTGGGAAGACACGAGCAAGAAATGCTTCTAACATTACTTATCAAGTATACTTTCTGGGTGTTTCTTCCATTGATAACCTCATTTGGACTACGACGAGCCGGTTTGAAACAGGGGGAGATCATCTGCTGTGATGTCTCGAATCAGTTTGATCAAGAAAAGCAAAGAAATCTGACTATCGGAATGCTACGCTTGAACGCTGGAATTGCTTGAAATGGATCAGATTTGTAAGTGTAGGTATCCTCTATCAAGCTGCCAGCCCACGATCATGTAAACAGCCCCGATATTCTAAGTCTCTCTCTAGCCTCTAATATCTATGTAAGGATCCAGCCCCCGCGGTAAAGTCATAATCGTATTCAGGGGAAGGAATCAAGCCACAAGACCTAGCCAGCTAGACCCTGTCTTGGCTGTTCCGCACACGAACAGTCTCCGCGTTCATGTCTTCGATGTGAGTGGCGCCTTGCTTGTGCATGGTGTGCTCCACCGCCTCGCGTCGTTCGTTCTCGTTGACCGCGCCAAAGAGGATGTCCATGTCCTCCAGGCTGCGGCCCTTGGTCTCCTTGGCGAAGATGATGACGAAAATGCCTGCGCCAATACAGAAAATGCCAAACATGAGGAAAGTCCTCCAGCCAAGGCTGTGAACAGCTTTGGGAGTGATCTCCGTTACCACAAAGCTCCAGAGCCACTGTGAGGTCGCTGCCAAACCGACGCCGTATGCACGTAGTCGTGTAGGAAAGATCTAGTCTCACATGTTAATTATGCCACTTTGTTTGAGATGCAGCAGAAACTCCGTGAGAACTTACCTCACTGACAACGACCCAACAGGTCGGACCCAGCGAAAAGGAGTAGCCGATGACATAAAGGTAGATCATAACGACCATAGCAATGGAGGGCTTAGAGACACCACTGGCGTTCGTGTCGGGAGGATATGAGACCAAGAGAGCCCCAAGGATGATCATCATACTGGCCATCCAGAAAGCACCACCAATCAAACTGGGCTTGCGACCCCATCTATCGATACCGACGTATAGGAAGATTGCAGTGGCGACAACTTTCACTGTCCCATAGATACCAGTAGCAAAAAGAGAGGAACTCGTAGCACTGAGTCCAATGGTTTGGAAGATCTGCGAACTGTAGTACCCAATGGAATTGGTTCCACTCCATTGCTGCCAGAACATGAGGCAGAAGGCAAAAGCAAAGCGCTTGAGGTTGCTGGGCACCAAGAACTCCTTGTAGCTCAGTCCTTCGGTGGCTGATGCCTCCTCCTCGACAGCTGCTCTAATCTCAGCCATCTCTTGCTGTACCACGTCACTGTCAGGCGCTTCATTGCGAATGTAAGCCAGAGAGTCTAACGCTTCCTCAAAACGGCCCTTGCTGCTCAACCAGCGCGGTGACTCCTTGAGGAAGAAAAGTCCAATCAACATGAGGCCACCCGGAATGAGCTGAATCGCCACGGGAACACGCCATTGCTTGGTACTGGGCTTGATGTGCAAAGAAACGCCATAATCGAGCCAGTAAGCGAATGTGCTTCCAATGACCAGGAATTCTTGGAACAATCCTGAGATCCGACCACGGATCCTCGCAGGACAGTTCTCACTGACGAAAACAGGTGTGATACTGGACATTCCTCCAATGCCCAAGCCAGCAATGACACGGCCGCCATAGATCTGGCCAATTGCATGCTTAGAGGCAACCTGAACGGCTGCTCCAATAAGAAAGATGAAGGTAAAAATCATGAGCGAATAGCGACGCCCCAGACGCTCATTGAGGGGAGCAGCAGCAATAGCACCAAAGAAGCAGCCGGCAGTGAGCAGCGATACAACATTGGAGGACACTTGTGAGTTCTTGGCGGACGCGAAACCGGTTGAATCAGTGGGAAGGCCAAAGTCGTTCTTGAAGCTGTCAAGGGCAAGGACACTACCCATCACACCAGTGTCAAAGCCTGGCACACACGACGGTCAGTCAAAGCAATTTGAAACGAGACAGGAGAGTACGTACCGAACAGAAGTGAACCTGAATAGGCCACCGCTGTGAGGACATAGATACGATAGTTCTTGAAGAGACCCATTTTGAGAGTTGGTTTCTGTTTGTGGGTTGTGAGTCGATGGGTGAATCCTGGCAACACAAGACACAGGCCCTTCCCTCTCAGAACTCTCAAGTCAAGAAAAGTCCAGGAGATCTCAATCAGAGGTCGTCTGGCTATATAGGGCCATGTTGCCCAGACTGACTAAGACATAGGATCCGCATAGCTAAATAAGCGTCATGCAGCCGGACCAGGCAGGTATAGTGTGTCGGGGGGGGGGGCGAGTTGAGGGGAGACGGAGAAGAATGAGCATCGGCGTAGTGGACGAAAGCTGCAAGCGGGCAGAAGCGACCCCAACTCCTCCCCGCACCATCTACTTGATCGAGCAATTCCGGGGGATGGTGGGTACATCCGGAGAAATTGTGCGGAGGTGATAGCGGGATTTTCCGTCCACTGATGAGTCTCGCTTGAACGCGCTAGAGTGCCACCACTACAATTTCTTCGACTCGTTCAGCTTCCCCAGCTGCACTTCCACGGTAATATCATGCCATAAACCAGGCATGCACCCGCCGTCTGCCGACCAGTGTGCATCTATGATGACACTTGATCACCAGGATATCCGGTCCACACCCTGACCTCGGAGAGGGGTAAGAAGAGACTACCTCGTTGATCCTAGCCGAGTGACGCAGATGTCGGTGTACTCTCCAGAGTTGGGGGCTTATCATTGCTCTTTCATTGGATCAAATCCGACTAGGGCCCTTATATACGAGCCGAGTCTTCTCTCGAACGTAGGAGATTCATAATCAATTTATCCGGTTCTGGGATTACCGGTGAGCTGCGAGGGAAAGGCCCTGGAAGGCGAAGGTGGCTGAAAGCTTGGCATTATTGCAAGGCAGTCACAGGCTGGCATTGATTATGTGCGAATTTAATTGAGTTTCCTCTCTCGCCCAGTGGCTTAAGGTAAGCCACGTTTGATGTGGTGAAGAGTTTGTCTAATGGCGAGCCGAGTTTGACAATGTCAAGGATTGGACCCGGCTTGCCGGTGGATTTGTTATCGCCAGTCCAGAAAGATTCCGGTCCTCCGAATATCTTACTGACACCTCGTTGTCTGCTCGAATGTGCTTCGGGGGGCGAAAAGCTCCATGTAGACCCGCAGTATTATGTTTCTCGTGAGACTGAATGTCAGACTGCCTTCGCCGCAACCAAGCAGAATCGATTGCATAATCACTAGCAGCAACGCTTTGGCCCACAGAAGTCGTCTTTGCACGTAATATGCGAGCACGAAGATGTGCTATCCGACGGTCAGATTGATCGTGTGGGTGGGAGTGCGCCTGGGCTCACATCAGATTGAGCAATCGCCCATGACGTTTCGAGAGGTCTGTGAAACTATCTTATCATCTCTTGAGATTGCCTTGTGGTCGTTTATATAAGTAAGTTTACCAAATGGTAACAAGCTGCCAGCGTCGTCCATCTCGAAGAGCCGAGGAGGTCTCACGAGAGATATCTGTAAAGATGCTTGCTTAGAAATATCTGGACTGGAGGATGACAAGTCAGAATCATCTTCTAGAAGCGTACATTGACACGATGGGGTAGCTGTGTCCTTTCGCATGTGTCGAAAGGTGATGTCTCAATTGCCATGGTTCAGGGGAAAGTTCGCTTTTCATGCTGGTATGTACTGGGCATTACCCTTCCACCTTCCAGATTTCCCTCTTTCTCAACTTCCGTTCTCTTTCCTTTCTACCGCCCTCTCTCCCCATCAAAATATATCACCCGCCCAACTTACCGTACATTCAAATGGTCCTTCTTTCTTCAAAGGATCGTCCTACAAACATGCCACTCTCCCTGTTTCAGATCTATCTCTGCTATATGGTGGGAAGACACATATCGCGATGCCATCGATCATGCAACACTCTGCCGAGTAGGCTCTTATCCATCTTGCACACTCGAACAATAACTTACGAGTATGGAACCAAATTTTGACAGGTAATCCCGCTCTCGTCACCATCAAATACTGTACCTGAGACTAATGAGTGGGTGCCAACGATAGAAATCAGAGAGCCGATGATGCTTACGAGAGACAGCATGATCTCGTTATCATCACATAGACTTCTCCGAACGATGACGATGACGATGCCTATCTCGATTTCAAGACTTCTTCAGCGAGACAGAGCGGTTATTTCCGATCGTCTGCCACGGAGGGGGGAAGCAGTCCCCTATATGACGGCTGTTTAAGCATCATATGGATGCATGCCAGCAGGAAAGTGGGATTGTTGCATGCACATCCAC